CAAATTTTAAAACGCGCTGTATTGAATTATCAAGAGAGGAGATATTTCGAGAAAATATCAAGAAGGATGACTATTTGCACATCGCGGTTATTAAGACGTTGCAGCCGGAACGGCGAATAGACGTATACATTAATAGCCGTCCATTTGCGGTGAGCAATTATGAAGACGTGGCGTCTAACGGGCTGCGGAAGGAAGAATGAGGAAAAAAAGGAACGAAGGAAGAGGCTCGTTAAACACTTTGAGTCCATATCATCTCTATATGGCGTGCGTATAAAGCGTGAAATACTAACGAGCGGTCATCATCAAACAATGGAAACTGGAACGAAGAGAGAACACGCGTATCAAAACCTCTTGACCGTCTCGGCATCACAATAAGCTGATCGATCAAAAAATTTTGTTTTATATTTTAGCGTAAGAGAGAGAATTTAAGCTTGTGTTATAATGAAATGATAAAAGCAGCGAAAAATAATCTTATTAAATCATTGATGGAAAATCATGTTGCTTCTTTTTCGCCTATAAAATTGCGATCATCCTGCAAATTAAATTATCACTTTCTCAATAATGAAAACTAGCCATAAGACAAAAATACACGCCGATAAGATTCCAATTTTTTTAAATTATATTTCAATATAAACAGAACTTAATTAGTGTAATATTTTGATATGTTGTTATTAAATTTCCGTCATCATCAAACTGGAACGAAGAGAGAATATGCGTATCAAAACCTCTTAACTGTCAAATTATCATAGTAGTAGTAATCAAATATTTTATATTTTTTATATTTTATTTTATATTTTGTATTCTTTTGTATATTATTATTTACATTTTATATTATTTTTTATATTATTTTATTTTATTTATATTTTTATATTATTTTTATATTATTTTATTTTATTTATATTTTTATATTATTTTATTTATATTTATATTTTACCAGTAAAATGCCTACAATCATCTTATATATTTTTCAAATTGCAATCTTCCTGCAAACATGTCAGAAAATCAAATTACCCCTTCCTCTTTAAATAATAATAATCAATCATAGAAGAAAAAACACGCTGGAAAAATTTCAATTTAAAAATTAAGACATCATTATTCAATACAATCAGAACCTGATTAGCTCGATGATTCGATTATTATGTCGAGGGCGTTTCGCGAACGCTAAATTTGCCGATCTGGAATGTTATACAACGGTGATGCATATTTAAGAGCGTGCAAAAGTGTACGGAGGGAATTTTATGTTAACAGGAGTAGAAGGGGGGAAGCCGCGCGATAAGTTCCACTGTAAGTGCCATTAAAAATTCTAGCCGCGCCACCGCGACGAACAGAAATTCTCATTTCGCGCGACGATAAGGCGAGAGCCGCTTTCTAAATCCCGCGCCCCCGCACATCGCTGATAATAACAATAATGGATGCCCTCATCTGCAATTACAATAAGCAGTTAGCGGGCGATAAATCACGCGAGGCGAAGTCCGCCCGCGATGAAATCTTTCTTTCCGCACATCGCGAGATAAAGGAAACTTCTTTCCCATCCCGACAATTCCGGGGGGCACGTCCTCCCATTCCGAAAGTTAAATTCCTCGGGGATGAAGTAGAGGGGAAGGGGGGAGGGAAGCTGAGAGGCTGTGCGACCCGAAGACCGTCTATTTAATTAGCGACTTGGCCGCGAATCCCCCGGTCGCGGATGACGATTCATCTTCGAGTTAATGCACAGGACGAGAATCCCCCGATAATTAGTTTTCGTAAGAAACCGGCCGGCTTCCGGGCCGACAAAGAGCGCGACTCGAGATCCAGGTAGGGCCGCCCACGCCTCGCGAAACTTTAACGGCGCTTGTTCGGTCGCGACTGTAAAATTTGATGAAGGAATCGATGCCGGATGCTCGTTAACGGATGTACCTATCAATAGTGACTACCTCGGTTGCAAATTTGTCGTGAATTCGATTTCGTCGGAGGTCGCCGCCTTTGAATTTTTCATTCGGCAAAGTAGAATGCGGCACGAATGTGCAGCTAAATATGTCCTCCTCCCTCGCGAATTACTGAATTGCGTGCGAAAAAAGGCTGTCTCTTGAAATAGGAACTAATAAGTATCCCGTTATTAAAATAAATATTAATTAATAATATTAAATTAAATATTTTATTATTTATACATTCTGTGAGAAAGAAAGTACCGGGAATTGTTGAATAAAACACACATATTTCATTTATTCAAAATTTATTGGGTAGGCTTCTTCAAAGTAGGCTCCATTTGAAGCAACGTATGCCATCGTTTTTTCCAATCTTCGAAACATTTCTTATAGGCGCTTTCCGGGATGGCCTTCAGTTCACGCGCCGATTTTTGTTTTAAGGTGCAATTTCATTGACGCTAAAAAGTAGCGTCAACCATTGATTGAACAAAGAAGCAACTACTTACTTCTTTGTTCAACCAATGGTTGACGCTTCTTTTTAGCGTCAATGAATTTGCACCTTTATGGCTTCAATCGACTCAAAACGAGAACGCCGAAGCGGCAATTTCAGTTTTGGGAAGAAGAAGAAGTCACACGGTGCCAAATCTGGTGAATACGGTGGTTGTTCAAATACATTTATTGAGTTTTTAGCGAGAAAATCGGTCACAATCGTAGCTCGGTGAGATGGCGCACGTCTCATGCCCAAATTATCGACCAAAATCGAACGAACGACTCATGGAACATGTTAGGTTCGTGTGCTACCTCTCTCAAGCTGGAATGACGGTTTTCGAGTACAATTTCCTTCACTTTTCCGATGTTATCTTCGGTCAAACTTATCGACGCGCGTCCAGAACAAGGCAAGTCTTCGACGACTTCTCGACCCTCCTTGAAGACTTTGTATCACTCATATGCACAGGTTTTTGATAGTGCTGAATCACCATAAGCCTTCTGCAACATCTTCAATGCATCAGCATACGAAATTTCGTTCGCAACACAAAATTTGAGACAAATTCTTTGTTCAATATTTTCACTCATTGTAAAAATCGGCACGCACTACTGACATCGACTGACTTAACCAGCTGTTGTAAACACACTGGTTGACAGATTCCACTCAAAGTTGGCATCATAATTAAGGACAGTTGTACTAACCTGGGAAAAAAAATTTTCATACTTCGACTAGCGCGGGCAGTTTAAATCGACAATTCAAAATACTTTTTTTGACAGAATGTATACATTAAATGTTGTATACATTATGTATACATTAAATGTTATATACATTAAATGATTGATATATCTTTAGAATGCTCATTTAGATTTTGTATTTTTAAATTTTACGTATATAGACAAATTTAGGAAAATTGACATGTTTAATTTTAAGTAAGTTAAATTTTTTAATAAGTTAAAATAGCTCCACGCGAATCACGAATATGTGTTTATTAAACATGATCGTTTCTTTCCATCTTTATAAATATCTGATTTACCTTTAAAATCGCACACATACATATATATACTGGATATTTCCATCTACGTACAAGAATATTAATAGACCGCTATAAAATTGTCCCTTTATACAGTAGTCTGCATATAAAAGATATCGTTTGATACGAAAGCTTATATTCTATCTTTACCGCAAGATGGCCGCATCGTTATGTTTCTTCGATACTCGATGGTGTAGTGAAACGGGTTGCTCTTCGACAGGAAATCTCGAGAATTAAGGTGGGGATTGATTATTTCCTGCGCTTATAAATTTTTATTGTCATTTCTTTAATTAATCTACGTATTTTTAAATTATCAATAAAATAAGTGACATGATAATATTGAACAACACATACACACAATAACATATTTAATATGACATATTAAAAATTATAAAAATATTTTTTAACAAAAAATATTTTTATATTTTTAAATATAAAAATATTTTTTCGTTATCTGTCTGATAATTATCAATAAATTCTGTGATTTTAAAAACTAAATGTTCAGATATTTTTTATATGTATGCAAGATTATTGTTAAGAAAGATTACGCAACTGAATAACACCTGATCCAATATAATGGAAATTGGATTTGTGAAAATCGCTTTATTAAGTCTTTATACAAGAATATCAATTTTCGTTAAGTAACTGTAGTGTAAAAAAATATTAATTTACATACCTACGAACGTTAATGGATAACAAATATTATATTCATTGTAAGCTCGAGTTATTATATAAGACAATAATATGGGAGCTCCATTTATAAGCGTGATTAAAATTTTAATTAACAACAGGGAGATATGTATATAGGGTGTTTCTTAATAAGTGCGAAAAATTTTAGGAGATGATTCTTTGTCGAAAATTAAGGGAGGTTTTTCAAACATATACTTCCACATCCCTCTCTGTGGAGTTACACTCCTCCAAAAATGGAGGTAAAAATTAGGTTTTTATTTTTTAGGTTTTTATTATAATTTTGTTTTTATTCCAATTTTCCAAAATTTACTCTAATTTCATTTTTAAAATTCATCTTTAAAATTTAACTTTTCGTAATTCAAAACCTATGCTATTTAGCATCGTGCTGTGCATGATAACGTATTTTATTTTTTCTTGAAAACTATTGATTTTATGAAGAAAATAAAAGAGATAAAAAAGTTTCTAAATAAGTCAAACTTTTTAATGCGGATTTTTAGATAATCATATTGCGGCCCATTAAAAATAGGGATTGCTAGTTTTATCTCCTTATAACAATATGGAAGACAGAAAAAAATATTAATGAATAACCTTTTTATTAGTAGAAAAAATCCACCTAATTTCATTTCTTTAACTTGTTCCAAATTTGAGAAAAATATAAAAATCTAATTTTTATCCCCATTTTTGGAGGAGTGTAACTCCGCAGAGAGAGATGTAGGAGTATATATTTATATAAAAAAACCTCCCTTAATTTTCGACAAAAGAATCATCTCCTAAAATTTTTTGCACTTATTAAGAAACACCCTGTATAATATTATAATATTACACAATTGTATATATATATATATATATATATATATATATATATAATAAATATATACTACTTTTTCTTTCTAACTATTGCAAACAACATTTCTGTTCATGTTCTTAAATGCGAATACTATATATCTTATTACTAAATAATTATATAACTTTTATTCCGATTATGTGCGAATAATTATAAGGAATAATAAGTATAGCACCTGTGCATTTCGAAAATTACGACTTGAAAATTCATCAGTTTAAAAAAAAGCATGCGATTTTGATCGCAAAATAAATAAAAAAATAATGGTATATTTAAAAAGAAATGAAAGAATACAGAATCTCTCTGCGGGCAAAGAATTTAGATGGGTACTTCTTCAAGTACATGAGAGTTCAGCCGACGATATTTCTTGAAATCATAATGATCATATACGTATATTATATATACAAAAGCATCTTTCGTACGCAAAATATATTATATTTGCTTATATATATTATATCCAATTCTATATATATACGTCACGGATGACATAATCTGAATCTGCGATTAAGGATAATGATAGTGCTGAGAATAAAATATGTGTAATATAATTAATTATTATTATTTAATTAGAGCAGGATATAAATATCGGTGTAAAAAGAGAGCTTTTATGGAAATTGTTTGCGGGAGGGAATCGCAGATCGCAATAATTTATTTGATTACGTTACGTAAGAAGCGGGGAGAGGACTTAGATGATATACAAGCGATCGTTTTAAGTTCGCGTTCCAGAAATACCGGGTGTACGGGAAAATCGCGTATCCCCTAGATACGAAGGATAGATACGCGGATCTCCTTTTCAACTCGAGGGCATGTCTTTCGAAAGAGAGACGTCTTTAGGGAGACACTGCATAGTTAATTTTACATTAAACGGTTATCTCCAAGTCGTAAGCCTATTGTTAGACTCGAGGTAGCGTGTCAGCTCATCAGGAATCGCATGCCGTGTCGTCTTTATCCGCGCGCGACCTAAAAGTAGTCCTTAAGGGGATCCCTCATTGAATGGTGAACTCTTACAGGATTACAACGCCCTCATCTAATCCTCATCCCGTATCTCTCTCTATCACGTTTTTTATAAAGAAGATGCACTGCTTTTTCCACTCTACTGTACCGATATTTCAGGTACATACGGACCGAAATTTTTGGGCACATGCCATTTATTAATTAGACTACTAAACTCAATTTTCACAGTTCCACAAGTTTTTATCATGCAGTCCGCTATTGGGTATGCTATTGTTTCATGCATAAAAGTTACAAAACATTTATACAAGGCTAATGTATTTATGAGGTGATAGCTTTAGACGCCATGTTGATTTAAGAAGTTGATAAATAAATATATAATTTTATACTTTTTTTCTTTCTCAGTATATAATCAGCTTCCCCGTGTCCATTTGCATCTATACTTCAAGCGTAGGAAAGGATTTTTAATTCTATGTAGACAATAAAAAATGGCACATGCCCAAAAATTGCAATATTTTGATAAAAAAGATATGTTGAAGGATCCCCTTAAGACCTGGTAAAACCGTGGTACCGTGGTACCGTAAAACGTCGCTGCGCTTTCGCCGTTGTCTCTTTAACCCTACCGCGCTACCCTTCCTTCCTTTCCCTTTCTCGGTTCACGACACAGCGTCGATGGTTGATCGTTAACGATTGAGATTGACGGTTGTTTCGCAAAGACGAGATGTCGATGCAACAAGACAAGAGTAGGACTCTCGAAATCGTGAAACTTGTTGACGTCGTCTCGTCTTGCGCGAATATTTCCACGTCTCCTGGCTTCTTAACGAACCCCTGAAACTCCCGGATCCCTGCAACGGGATTCCACCATCCCGGAAATTCCCGGATAAAGCCGAGAAGACTGCGCAGGATACTTTGCTCTCTCAATTCCTCTTGCTGGAGTTGATGAGATATTTGCAGCAGTGGGTAAGCAGATGCTTCTCGCCGGTGACGTCATGTTGAGCGACGGGAGAGGCCGTGGATTCCCTGGTGTAGACGTCCAGGCCGTACTGGCCCTCCTCGGGGAAGCTTATGGAGAAGGTGACCACGTCGTCGTCGGCGATGGAATGCGTCACGTACTTTGACAGACGTTTCTCCTCGATGCCGTTCTTGTGCAGGGTCGCCATAAAGTCCGTCAACGGCCTCGACATGCGAAATTGAATCTCCAGCTCGCGCCCGGCGAACACCAGTGCCTCCTAAAATCGATAGATCGTAAACCGTCCGGCTGACAGACAAGATCGGGAATCTTTCCTGACCCTCTTTTCTTTTTCAACGCTTTCCAAAAGAATAAAAAAAAATGTCGCGAAGCTCTTACCTCGCATAAAATACGTAACAAGTTGTTTTGAAAAATTCTAAACACAAATTAGAACAATTTTTTAAAATTAGCTTCAAAGCTTATACCATCTTTCATAATCCTTTCAACATTTTCATATTTTTTATTGTATGGAAATTATTATACTTTTGTATCATTAATATTTTGACAAACAGGAAACTTGGACGCATCTTCAGGCCACCCTGTACCTCCTACGATATCGATCTTGCACGGTTTTAAATTAATTATATAAGCGAATCGATCCAACTAGACCTACCTGATGAGTGATGGGTATGAGCCCGAATAATCTGGTGGCTTTGGTGGGGCCCCATTCACCGCTGGCGCAATCCGGCAACGGCACCATCACCGTCTGCAGCTCCTCGCAGGCAATTTTGAATTTGCAAACGCTTTTGAACTTCATCGGCTCGCCCGTCAAGTATTCCTTCGGCGTCACCGCGTTGGCAAATATGTCTAGAAGAAAGGCCCCGGAGCAGGGTGCGTGGACTCGGAAGGCGACTATATTTCCCACGACCGACTGCGGAAAATTTCAATTTTTTTCAGACTTATTCAAAGGTTTAAAAAAAATCGCTGCGTGTTATCTCCTTATAAATTGACGCGAACTTAATATATTTTCTTATCATATTGCTAAACATGCGACAGTATTATTTAGTACGAAAGAAAACGATAAGAAGTTTCTCAAATAATACTGAAACCCACATGTGATTTTATAATTAACTTATATTTAACTTTTAAAAAAATAGATTTTTACGAGCCAAGATTAATTTTTTTTTTAATTATAAATACGAGAATTTATTAATGAATTACTAGAGAGTATTACATTTTTTCTAAAAATGTTTGAATTAATGTTTTATGAAATTCTCACGACTTTTATAAGCAACTTTTCGCTTTAAGGATGTTTTGTATGTACAATCCCAGCAAAAAGTAGTTGAAAATCAATATTGACGAATATCCACTTTTGATATATTTTGAGTATGAGAAATTGTATGGAATATTACAATTTGATTTTAACTACAGCGCAGAGATGTATTTTTTAATATTTATTGCGTTTTTACTGAAATTCCGAATATTCCGAATTTTGTTAATCGAAATGATTAACTTTTGGCAGAAAATTTCGCCTTATGACAGATACATGGCTAACTTCACTGAATTATATTTAATATCTTTTTAACCAGTTAGTACTCGTACAATATTATTTGATCAAATATTTCCTCTGTATCTAAACTTTTGCAAATTTTAAACAAATTCCGAACATTATTTCCACGTGTTTTTGTCATTTTAATCGATGTGGTTATATATTTTCCATAAGAACACATGCAAATTAAAATCCTTATAACTTGTGAACGCTTTAGTGAATCGATTTAAAAATTGTACTGAAGATTTTAAACATATGTAAGGACATTCTGTACAATTTTCATTAAATTCTCAATATTTTAAAAATAGGTACAAAACATCCTTAATCGAAATGATTAATAATTTTCATTAAATTCTCAATATTTTGAAAATAGATACAAAACATCCTTAATCGAAATGATTAACTTTTGGCAGAGAATTTTGCCTTGTGACAGATACATGGCTAACTTCATTGAATTATATTTAATATCTTTTTAACCAGTTAATACTTGTATAATATTATTTGACCAAATATTTTCTCTGTTTCTAAACTTTTGCAAATTTTAAACAAATTCTGAATATTATTTCCATGTGTTTTTGTCATTTGAATCGACGTAGTTATACGTTTTCCATAAGAATACATGTTAATTCGTTGCAAATTAAAATCTTTATAACTTGTGAATGCTTTAGTGAATCGATTTAAAAATTGTACTGAAGATTTTAAACATATGTAAGGACATTCTGTACAATTTTCATTAAATTCTCAATATTTTAAAAATAGGTACAAAACATCCTTAATCGAAATGATTAATAATTTTCATTAAATTCTCAATATTTTGAAAATAGGTACAAAACATCCTTAAAGAGCGTGAGATAAATTATGATAATTTACCTGCATGACAAAACGCTTGAGCGACACGCCGTCATAGCCGTCACCGTCGTTGTCGTAAAACTTGAGATTGTAATGAAAGATAAGGGATGATTGCATATTCGCCGGCATCGCTATCCTTACGGTCGCAGCGCCGGTAGAATCCGTGTACATAACGGCATTTGTATTCGTATCCGGAAAGTAGAGGCCGTACCTGTAGGCGCAGAATTTATTCTCTCTCTTTCACTCTTATAGTCATTGTTAGAAAATCTCTCTCTCGCGCGAAATCATCGAGATTTAATTGCGTATTCTAACGGCTTCTACACGCGCCTTAATAGAGGCATTTAATGCTGTCAAGACGTTACTTCACTTGATAAATTTAAATATAATTAATGAAGAGAGTGCATAATATTGGATATGGAAATTATGTAATAAGAGTTGCTTTTTTTTTGAAGATATTTCCTTACCTGAAAAACAGGGACCGGACGAAAGGCAGCTCCTCAAAGTCTTTGAGCGAGATCGGTTGTTTGAGCAACTGCCAGTCCTCTTGCAACGGGAAGAACTCGTATATGAATTCCCGGGGATCCGTTAGGAAGTAATGATCATCGTACTCGTACCTAATAAAATAAAATTATTAAGTGCGAACAATTTTAAAAGATGATTCTTTGTCAAAAATTATGGAGAATTTTTCATTGAGTTTTTGTATTTGTTAGGTTTTTAAGTTTTTATTATAATTTTGTCTTTGTTCCAATTTTTCTAACATTTATTCTAATTTTATTTTTATTTTAAAATTTAACTACTTTTCGTAATTCGAAACCTATGCTATTTAGCTGTGCACGATAACGTATTTTATTTTTTTTTTTTCTTGAAAACTATTGATTTTATGAAAAAAATACGAGAGATAAAAAAGTTTCTAAATAAGTAATCACATTTTTTAAAATTTGCGTATTTTTAGATAATCATATTGCGGCTCATTAAAAAGTTGTAATAAAAAATTGAATAGGGGTTACTAGTTTCATCCTCTCATAACAATACGGCAGGTTGAAAAAAGCATTAATAAATAACCTTTTTATTAGGAAATATCCACCTAATTTTATTTCTTTAACTTGTTCCAAATTTGAAAAAAATAAAAATCTAATTTCCACAGGGAAGGATATAGAAGTATATGTTTATACGAAAAACCCCCTTAATTTTCGACAAAGAATCATCTCCTAAACTTTTTCCCACTTATTAAGAAACACCCTGTTTACACTATAATTATTATTATATACGGATAAAATTTCGGGCCTACCTGAGGCTGTCATTCTTCGCCTTCGCCTGGCCGGGACGGGGGACCTCTTTGGCATTGACGAGGTGTCGCGCCCCCCAATTACACTGGACGAATCGCCACGCACCTGCTACGTAAACGGCGTTCCAGCTGTTCCGGAATCGATTGTCCTCGAAGCAAACGCCCGGCTGGTAGCCCGCCGACTTGCTGTAACCCTTGATGACCACGCAATGCAAGCCCGCGTAACTGTGTTCGAACACAATTTAGATAGACTCTCTTTTCTTTACTGGCATGTAAAAAATATACGCGAGTAAACGTCGAACGTCCCGATATATTAAATTTACCGCCATAAATGTTTTGTATCCCGCGCTTTTTACTGACGTCGTATAAGTCGATCAAAGTAAAATAAATCCCGCATATCAGCTTCCATTTATTTATTACATCGACGTGACATTCTATTTAAATCTTCCTCTTTCTCTTCGTAAAATGCCTTACTATAAAATCTTTATCTTCGTGAGAAAAAAAATCAGATTTCATATTAAATATTTTCATAATTTTCTCTCTTCTTCTGTTCTTCACATTTAAAAGTATGTTAAGTAAGTTAAGGATGTTTTGTACCTATTTTCAAAATATTGAGAATTTAATGAAAATTGTACAGAATGTCCTTACATAAAAATTATATTTTGTTAACATCGGCTATAAATATAATATAATTCCTATTATCTTCCAGATTGTCGAATTGAATCTCAAAAAATTCAAATCACAATTTTCATCCTTTTTGTAAGCAAAAGTGATACACGAAGATTTTATTAAATTGTTTATTTATTTAATTATTTTATTATTTTATTTAATTTTTATTTTATTTAATATATATTATATAATTATTTTTTTAATTTTTATTTTATTTTTAATACATAATATTTAATTATTTTATTTAATTTTTATTTTATTTTTAATACATAGTATTTAAATATTTTATTTAATCTTTATTTTATTTTTAATACATAGTATTTAATTATTTTATTTAATTTTTATTTTATTTTTAATACGTATTATTTAATTATTTTATTTAAGAATGTTTTGTACCTATTTTCAAAATATTGAGAATTTAATAAAAATTATACAGAATGTCCTTACATATGTTTAGAATCTTCAGTACAATTTTTAAATCAATTCACTAAGGTGTTCAAGTTATAAGGATTTTAATTTGCACCGAATTAACATGTGTTCTATGTGGGAAACGTATAACCACGTCGATTCAAATGACAAAAACACATGGAAATAATATTCAGAATTTGTTTAAAATTTGCAAAAGTTTAGATACAAAGAAAATATTTGGTCAAATAATATTATACAAGTACTAACTGGTTAAAAAGATATTAAATATAATTCAATGAAGTTAGCCATGTATCTGTCACAAGGCGAAATTCTCTGCCAAAAGTTAATCATTTCGATTAACAAAATTCGGAATATTTCAGTAAAAACGCAATAAATATTAAAAAATACGTCTCTGCACTAAGATCAAATTGTAATATTCCACACAATTTCTCATACTCAAAATACAGCAAAAGTGGATATTCGTCAATATTGATTTTCAGCTACTTTTTGCTGGGATTGTATAAAACATCCTTAATTATTGTTTTCCAAAAAAAACAATTGATATGTTAAATATAATTACACGAATTTCTTTTAATATCCTCGCAAAGCGAAGCTTCTGACGTCTCTGTGTTCCATTATATACGCAAAAATCATCGCTCGTCATCCGTTACCTGCACAATCGCTTGAATAGAACGTGATAGCTTTCCGTGCCGTGTTTGATGCCCCTCAACAGACCCATGGGAGTGTCGCCTCGTAAGTTCTCGTCGAACTGCATAGTGTTGAGATTCTTCACGGTGATCCACCGGAATATTGTCCTCGCCTTTTCTATGTCCGATCCGCATCTGCTCACCAACTGTCGCACCAGATCGGTGAACGTTTTCTGATCTTCTTGCGCTACCTAAGAGTAACATTGATATCGTAAATCAGCGAGTATCCATGAAGAAGCGTCTCTCTCTCTTATGAAAGCCGCGTTGATAAAATATGGCTATCGCTCTGCCCAATATTCCCCGACTCACGGTGGCATCATTCGTGAAGAATCAAAAGTATCGGAGGGAAAATATTAATTGCAATTGTATGAAAACTCGCGAATCGATCGAAATAAATCTCTCGCGTGCGACGAGAGATTAAAGTATAACAATCTTGTAAAAGGAACTGGGGTATAAAACGAAAAGGAGTGTGCAAGGCTCCATGCTTCAACGATAACGTCCAACGTCGCGATAAAGATCGCGAAATCTTAAAGGATGGCTCGCGAGAGAAAAAAGACCGAAAGCCAAAGCGCTAAAGAATTTCGAGAGAAGCGAGAACTTACCGAAATAGCTATCTGATCCATGTCAGCGAACTCCAGAGGATCATTGTAGATGTGGTACTTGGCCAGGGCCGGTGGCTGCGGGGGTGGCGCGCGCGACGGATAAGGCGGGGGCGGTGCTTCCTGGATATAACCGTCTCCCTCGTCGAGATATAAACTCTCCTGGAGCATGTACTCGCTTCTCGCCTCATTGATCAGCTCCAGCATCTCCGAGCTCTGCTTCTCCACCAGCGCGGCGGTCGCCGCTCTAAATTCATCAAGAATAACTAAGCTTGTGTCTTATAATTTTACATTGCACGTGTGTCTTATAATGTTATTCGTAAGTATATATTATTTATATTTTTATTTTATTTATATTTATGTAACATTTATGTAACATTTATATAACATTTATATAACATTTATATAACATTTATATAACATTTATACAAATATTTATACAAATACAATATTAATATAACATTTATATAATATTTGTACAAATATTTATACAAATATATATACAAATATTTATATAACATTTATATAAAATTTATATAACATTTATATAAATATTTATATAACATTTATACAATATTTATACAAATATTTATACAAATACAATATTAATATAACATTTATATAATATTTATACAAATATTTATACAAATATATATACAAATATTTATATAACATTTATATAACATTTATATAACATTTATATAAATATTTATATAACATTTATACAAATATTTATATAAATATTTATATAACATTTATAATATTTATACAAATATTTATACAAATATTTATATAACATTTATATAACATTTATATAACATTTATACAAATATTTATACAAATATTTATATAACATTTATATAATATTTATGTAAATATTTATACAAATATTTATATAACATTTATATAACATTTATACAAATATTTATATTATATAATATTATAAGTATAATATAAAAATTATATAATATTTATATAATATTTATATAATAAATTTATTTAGTTATTTACTTTTGCTCTCCCTCGCGGGAGAGATCTTTTGTTACACTTTCTCTCTAAAAGCTCTAGAAAACATTATACATTGTTTAATGTAGTACACTACGACCTGCGATATACATTTAAAGGCAAGATGTACTATCGCTTTAATTATATAATAAATACCGTTCGTGCTCCAACATCTTGCGCGTGAGACTTTCCTTCTTCTTGTCCCTGCGTAAAGTCATGTTCTTCTCCAAGTCTTCCTTCTCCTGCTGAAATTGTTGGGTTCGAACTCTTCCGCCTTTTTCCCGTTCCCATCTCGCCGACAATTGTTCCAGCTCCTTCTCCCACTCGTCCTTTTTTTTTCAAGCCACACAAGATGCATTAAAACAATGTTTCTAATCTAAATACATGTGTCATTCGTGTAAACGGAAAATGTTTAAAAAATTAGACAATTACGAAGGCGCGCGAATAATAAACCGCATTGTTTTTCTTAGAGTGTGATTCATTACGTACTCGGAATTCCTCGCGAATTCGTCTGTCTTCTTCCTCGCGATGGTGGGCAAACTTTCGGTATAAATCATCCTCTTCTTTCCGATGCTTCATCTCGAGACGCGTCTGCTCATCGCGATCCTGGGTAAAAGCAGAGTAGAAAGAAACATATTAAACATTCAATTCGTTTTGTGCATGTGCAACTTTTAATTGATATAACGCAAATAACTGAGCTTAATTGATCACATTTTGTTTAAAAAAATATTATTGCAATTGTATAAAATGTTTAAAATATTACCATAATAATTATATATATAATTATGATATAATTGCGATATAACAATGCTATTTTAATAATAATAATATTATTATAATATAATAATAATACTGTTTTATTATAACATTATTATTTTATTTTTATTAGAATTAAATTAAATAGAAAATATATTAAAAATGGAAGACATTTTATTTTTAATTACATTAATATAGAATACTTTTTTAAAATATATATGGGGTTTGTAAATTAATTTTTTCATTACAAATATATTATATATTTTTCATGATAAATTAAATTATTATTTATTTGCAAAATAATATACAATATTATTTATTTGCAAAAATAATATACAAGTACTGTATTTCGAGCTTTTGTCATTTCGTATTTCGAAAAACAAACATGCGACCGCCGATTAAGGATTAAACTATCGTCACGTGCCGGGAAACATTCCGCTAATCGTTGCGGAAGGATACAATTGGACGCAATGAAACGTTTCCATTTCTTAAAACGCCCGCAGCGAAACGTTTCTAGCCTCAGAGCCAGAGCGTAGGTAGTAGTAGGTAGACACTCTACTTTTTGTATAATTTACTTTCACGTCGCGTTTCTGCTTTCATTCGCTTCCAACGGAGTCTCCTCGGGGGAAACGACAACCCGCCACTCGTCGACAAAAGCGAACTAATCCTCTTCCGGTATTTAAAAAAAAAATGACACGTTTTGTGTGCGAGACTCTCTTTTCGCTCGTTGTAATCGCGACCGGAAATATTGACGCATAATGAAAATATGGGCGCAATATGTTATCCTTGAAAGAAACGAGCGCGCTCCTTTGGAGAAATTTCTCCGATGCAATTTCTCCGCGATACAATTTCGGAGCAAAACGGTTCAACCGCACATAAACAGTTCGCCGCAAATAATCGGGATGCGAAGCCTGGCATCTTTGAGAAATTTGTTAAATTAAATTCAAGATTAGAGGGATCCCTCAACCTATCTTTTTCAATCGACAAAATACTGTAATTTTTGGCGATGTGCCATTTTTTATTGTCTTTCTAATTTGGGCAACTGAGTTTCGAGCAGTTATTAAATCTTTATCCAAAAGAGGATTGGCTCTCTTCTGTGATTTTCGCCTTGATGTATTTATTTTTAGTTTTATATTCAAAATTTTTATAAAAAGTTCAAAAAAGGATTGGATCTCTTTTGTAATTTTTTGCTTTAATGTATTTTTTTATAGTTGTATTCAAAATTTTTATAAAACGTTCAAGTAAATAATTTGAGATTCTGTGCAATTTGTTTCTCATTTTAAAAGGATCCCTCAACCTATCTGTTTTATCTACAAAATACTGTAATTTTTGGGCATGTGCCATTTTTTATTGTCTTTCTAATTTGGGCAACTGAGTTTCGAGCAGTTATTAAATCTTTATCCAAAAGAGGATTGAATCTCTTCTGTGATTTTCGCCTTGATGTATTTTTTATAGTTTTATATTCAAAATTTGTATAAAACGTTCAAGTAAATAATTTGAGATTCTGTGCAATTTGTTTCTCATTTTAAGGAAAACCCTCAACCTATCTGTTTTACCGACAAAATACTGTAATTTTTGGGCATGTGCCATTTTTTATTGTCTACATAGAATTAAAAATCCTTTTCTACGGTTGAAGTATAGATACGAATGGACACAGGGAAGCTGATTATATACTGAGAAAAAAAAGTATAAAATTATATATTTATCGACTTCTTAAATTAACATGGCGTCTAAAGCTATCATCTCATAAAGACCTTAACCTTGTATAAATGTTTTGTAACTTTTATGCATAAAACAATAACATACCCAATAGCGGATTGCACAATAAAAACTTGTGGAACTGTAAAAATTGAGTTTAGTAGTCTAATTAATAAATGGCATGTGTCCAAAAATTTCGGTCCATATGTACCTGAAATATCAGTACAGTAGAGTGGAAAAAGCAGTGCACCTTCTTTATAAATAACGTGATAGGCCGGAATTCATAGTCCGATCTTATATTTAAGACTGTCTTAAGCTCTCATTCCATCAATCAGTGGCTGCATTGTAGCTATTTGATTGGTTGAATGAGTTCTTAAGATGATCTTAAATGTAAGACCGGACTATTGGCCGGAATTCATAGTCCGATCTTATATTTAAGATTGTCTAAAGCTCTCATTCCACCAATCAATGGCTACATTGTAGCTGTTTGATTGATTGAATGAGTTCTTAAGATGATCTTAAATGTAAGACCGGACTATTGGCAGGAATTCATAGTCCGATCTTATATTTAAGACTGTCTTAAGCTCTCATTCCATCAATCAGTGGCTGCATTGTAGCTTTTGATTGGTTGAATGAGTTCTTAAGATGATCTTAAATGTAAGACCGGACTATTGGCCGGAATTCATAGTCCGATCTTATATTTAAGATTGTCTAAAGCTCTCATTCCACCAATCAATGGCTACATTGTAGCTGTTTGATTGATTGAATGAGTTCTTAAGATGATCTTAAATGTAAGACCGGACTATGAATACCGGTGATAGAGAGAGATACGGAATAAGGATTAGATGAGGGCGCTATAATCATGTATGAGTTCACCACTCAATGAAGAATCCCCTTAAGTTAAGAGTTCACCACTCAATGAAGAATTCCCTGGTCCACGTGTCGCGAATTACGTCATAATAACGCGTCCATTTAATTTGAATAAACACCCTTAGATCTAATGACAAAGCAGGCTAGGAGAAGAAGATCGCATGCTATTAATCGAAAAGACCACTTTATCGTTGAACACAATCTTGCAATGGATGCATAAGTGCGTCGATGTAACCCTGATTCCGCAGACAAGTTACTCGGAGCAGCGTGAAAACGTATGAGGCCGTCGCGTATGTAATTTTTATGACGGGGAAACCTGCTCGTGACACGATTCGGGTTCAGCCCGTGACGTAATTCAAGGCTGTTTTTTTCTTTCATTCGTGTTTCCGCTTTATGTTAGAGACAGATAGGGGGAATCCGCGCATAACACGTGTATTATTTCGGATAAAATCCAAGAGGGGCAAACATTACCCGGATATACGGTATTTCGATTCGCCGCGAGAATCCGTTCCCGGAAACGGGACAACAGCCTTTAATGGATTAATTCTCCCCTAAGCGTTTACGCGCGGGGGCGCGTGAGAGATGCGCGAATAAATGCGTTATCCCCTCGCTCCCCCTCCCCCCGGGGCTCTTTCCGCGGCCCGACAACGATTCTCTAATTAGCCATCAAGTGCAGGAGTACCGCAAGCGGAAATAATGCCGCTTCCAGCGGTGCCTTCCCTCCTCGTCCCTCTCGTCCCTCTCGTCCTGAACGCGAGGCTCTCCTTCGCGTGCACGTCCTGTGCCCGTACGAGGGAAAATAAGACGACGGTGTAGGGTATACACGCGTTCTTCCGTGGCAGCGATTTGAATAATCGCCGACGACGACGCGCAGCGCGTTATTTCCGAGGAGACTCGCAAAATTGGATGCGAATTTTCCGCCTCTTTATCGATCGATTAATTTTGTGTTTTGTTTTGTTTTTTTTTTTTTTAACGAGGGAACATCGCGAACTCGGAAATTTTAATTTCGATGGAACTTTACACATGTATGAAGGAGGTAAATAAATGAGTTTAGGAATTTTTAATTATTGCTTCTAGAAATAAATCTTAGGAGTGAAATCATCCCTCTCTATGTAAGACGATCTTTTGCTTTCTTGATTTATCGAAAATTATTTGAGATATCGAAAAGATATTTTGTACAAGAGTTGGCTTAAAACACTTTATTTAACCATATTAATAAAATTTTGGAAAAATAAGTTTCCTAGATTTTTTTAACCATATTAATTTTTTTTTAAAAAATTTTATTTTATATTTTAATAGAGGTGTTTTAACTATGAAACTTTTGTATGAAACATTTTTTGATATCTCGAATAATTTTCGAGATATATCGAGAAAAGTAAAAAGCCGCTTTATATATGAGGGGTGGTTTTACCCCCTAAAATCGTTTTTAGGCAGCGATTAAAAGTTTCTAAATTCATTCATTTACCCCCTTACATGTGTATAAAGTTTCAAAATCAGAATTTCACGAGGTTTTCTTCGAGATGAGATTCCAGAGTCTCTTTTTAATTGTTTTATTTGCAATAAATTTTATAAATTCTTCGACTGTTATAAATAACTTTGCAAAGGAATCACGAATTTCGCTCGTAAAATTTCTCTCGGGAGAAAAGTCAGCGTTTCGAATTATCAAACCTAACCTAACGTTAAACCTTAAAACCTAACCTTAAAATCTTAAAACCTAACCTTCGTGCGACGCTTTTCCCGCCTCGATTTCGAAAAGAAGCTCGCGGCAAATCAGAATAATTCCGGTCATTCGATCACAGTCACGCGTGGCTATCTGTTATGCCGATTCCCAGGATTCCTGAGGGCTTCCCGCTGTTCCGCCAATTAAACGTAATACCAGTGATAATCGCGATCGTGAGAAGGGGCACCATCCGCCGTCGCGATTATCCGATCATCGGGCGCGTGGGCGAAACGCCTCTCCTCGGGGGTTCGACGGGATCATCGACGATGCGAGCGAACGTAGGTGGACGATACAAAAATACCGGATAAATCACGCCAGTGGATTATTCCGCCCCGGGAGAGAAACATTGTGATTGTCTCGCGGCTTAATCCCCCCTCGTCCCCCTCCAAATCACTCGCTACCGCGCGAATTATCATTTAATGGTGGGCAAATTTAAAAAAACGAACAATTTGTCGCGTCTGATTTGTCGCGAGCTTCTTTTCGAAATCGAGGCGGGTAAAAGCGTCGCACGAAGGTTTAAGGTTAGCTTTTAAGATTTTAAGGTTAGGTTTTATGGTTTAACGTTAGGTTAGGCGTTTGATAATTCGAAACGCTGACTTTTTATAATTGATTTCGTTCGCGGGCGAAAAAAGTCGATTATATAACCAGAGTGTAGCACTAGGTGAGGATCTCTCGATCGCGGACGAAATCGCGAAAGCGCGTTTGAAGCGCGGGAGAAAACGCGGCCGATGGCAGAGCGACTAGCGGCTCGGCCTTATTACGCGGCGAATGGGAAAAGCGGTAATCTCATTTTCATGTGTTGGCGCGAACGCGAATGGACGGCCTCGCCGACTGCTCGCCTGGATTCCTGCGCTCGTCGGGACGGATTGCTCGCGTATGGAAGTCACGCAAAGCGACGCGGAATCCGGGGTGTATACGTCGGATCGCATTCCCGGCGAATCGGAAATCCACGATTTTCGGAATCTCGCGGGTTTCGCCAACGAGATTGCCCCGAAGAATAGAATCCGAACTTGTCGCACGTCATTTGTACCAGCCTTTTTTTGTCAGATAAATATGTATCTCTTTTTTAAATTTACTGATACAATGTGATTGTTATATAATTGTTACATAATTGTTATATAATTATTCTATAAAATGTTTTCTATAAAATGTATTCTATAAATGTTTATATAAATATATATATAATTGTTATATAATTGTTATATAATTGTTATATAATTATTCTATAAAATGTTTTCTATAAATATTTATATAAATATATATAAAATTGTTATAGAATTGTTATATAATTGTTATATAATTATTATATAAAATGTTTTCTGTAAAATGTATTCTATAAATGTTTATATAAATATATATATAATTGTTATATAATTGTTTATTATGTAGGGATGTTTCTTTTTTCAATTCAAAATATAATATTTCATTTTCTTTATCGATTGAGAATGATTTATTAGGAATGACAAGAGCAGATCAGATTGAAACATTACTTGATTATCTTTATATTACAATTAAATGGATCATTCCTATCAGATAAAATATCTTTTATAAATAGAGTCTAGGAAGATACTTAAATAATATGTAAATTAAATTGCAATTGAGAGAGAAAATTAACGCGAATTGATGAAGAAAAGACACTCGCCAAGTCTGATGTTGGCCAACAGCGGAGTTTTGCAAGTTTCGCGAGAAGTTAGAGGAGAAGCTATGTATCTCTCTATACACGCCATTGATCTGGATTTTATTATTACGGAAGTACTTGGAGCAGTCCATTGTCCGTATTTTCGCTCATGCAGACAATGCATTTTCCCCACTGGCTGTTTCAGGAAGAGGCTGATAATCAACGGGCGATACGCGCGCAAAAAGTCAATTACCACATCGCCATTGTTCGCCTTCTTCCACGCACTTCAAAATTATGCTTCGAAATTATCATTGCTAATTCGCGTTATTAATTAATAATTATTTTCACAGGCTTCCACAAGAAGCGAGAAAACGAATCGCAAAAACGGCTGTTGCTGACGATCTTCACGCGAGACTGTACCTTTTTAATTTTAATTCTCAGATTTTCATTTGAAAATTTCAATCATTTATAACTATTACTACTATTTTTACTTTTAAATATTATTACCAGAGAAATAAATTTTTCTCTTCTCTTTGATAGCTTCTTTCGGTTCAGAAACTATATTTAGATACAGAAGGTGATTTTAGAGATTTTTGCACTCTTCAATAATCGTAATTTATTTTTATATTTGTACTTTTTCAGAATTTGTAAATTTATTTTTTATGTGCAAGGAAAGTGATTTTAAAACTTTATAATTTGCTTTTTTTTATCTGACATATCTTTTATCGCTTTCATATGAATTTTGTCGAGATTTGATCCTCTTTTTTTATTTCGAAGCATGAATATTAATTATTCAATTTATTTAATAATTAATAATGTATAAGCATCAATATTAATAATTTACTATCAACTCACGAAAAAAAGACAAAAATAAAAGTGCATTTAAGGATCCCTCATTGAATAATGAATTCTTACAGGATTACAACGCCCTCATCTAATCCTCATCCCGTATCTCTCTCTATCACGTTATTTATAAAGAAGATGCACTGCTTTTTCCACTCTACTGTACCGATATTTCAGGTACATACAAATCGAAATTTTTGGGCACATGCCATTTATTAATTAGACTACTAAACTCAATTTTCACAGTTCCACAAGTTTTTATTGTGCAATCCGCTATTGAGTATGCTATTGCTTTATGCATAAAAGTTACAAAATATTTATACAAGGCTAATAACTTTATGATAGCTTAGACGCCATGTTGATTTAAGAAGTCGATAAATAAATATATAATTTTATACTTTTTTTCTTTCTCAGTATATAATCAGCTTCCCCGTTGTCTGTTTGCATCTATACTTCAACCGTAGAAAAGAATTTTTAATTCTATGTAGATAATAAAAAATGGCACATGCCCAAAAATTACAGTATTTTGTCGATAAAACAGATAGGTTGAGGGATCCCTTTAAAATGAGAAACAAATTGCACAATCTCAAATTATTTACTTGAACGTTTTATAAAAATTTTGAATACAAAACTATAAAAAAATACATTAAAGCAAAAAATTATAAAAGAGATCCAATCTTTTTTGAACTTTTTATACAAATTTTGAATATAAAACTCTAAAAAATACATCAAGGCAAAAATCACAGAAGAGAGAGCCAATCCTCTTTTGGATAAAGATTTAATAACTGCTCGAAACTTAGTTGCCCAAATTAGAAAGACAATAAAAAATGGCACATGCCCAAAAATTACAGTATTTTGTCGATAAAACAGATAGGTTGAGGGATCCCTTTAAAATGAGAAACAAATTGCACAGAATCTCAAATTATTTTCTTGAACGTTTTATAAAAATTTTGAATACAAAACTATAAAAAAATACATTAAAGCAAAAAATTACAAAAGAGATATCCAATCCTCTTTTGGATAAAGATTTAATAACTGCTCGAAACTCAGTCGCCCAGATTAAAAATATATGATGGCTAGAGGCAATTTGAAGAGGCTTACCGTTTTTAAAAAGACAATTAGCTTGTTTTTCAGAGTACGAAATGTATTTCTAGCTCGGACAATCTGCCTTCTCTTTGCAATCTCTTTTTTTTTACAGAGGAAAAGCTCTTTCCGCTTCTTCGCGGAAATTGCGTGTATGTCAGTCGCCTGGCGCGTCGGAGAACAGTAACTCTCGACCTTATACGGCGACGACCATGACGAGAGAAAGAGAGAGAAGAGAAGGATTACATCGATCGACCGCCAACGTGACTCACCAGATAATAATCGATGGGCTTCTCGCGGGCCTTGCTGTAGCCCTTCTGCAGCTCGGTCTGCTTGAGCGCGTGGGCGATGTGAAGGGCGCTCGCGTCGAATCTGCCGTACTGATAGCTGCCATCCCCGGAATAATTGTGATTGTACGGCGAGGATGCGCCGCCGGTGCCGGTGCCGGTGCCGTGGATGCTGTCGCGTTGGGACGCGTTCGTCGCCGGCGGCGAGCCGTGCCCGTTCAGGTGCCTGGCATAATTAGGCGAGTCTACATTATCGTAACTGCAACAGAAGCGTGCACACGGGTCTTCAGGGGGCTGCGAGGGGGATTCAGCCGAGTTCTACCGCTGCCAGGGATCGAAAGAGAAATAGAGACAGAGAAAGCACACCAACCCTTCATTCCGGGACGATCAACGAGAGAGGTTTGTCCCGGAATCAGCCGTGTGTGTCCTCTAATCCTGAATAAATAATTTTCATTGCGACACGCGATAGCGACGAGATCGTTGCTTGAAAATAAACTTTAGGAAGCACTGATGGAGGTACTAACTTGATAAGGACAGCTAGTTCCTTCATCATCGGAAAGCAAGAATTTTATTATTAAAATTACTAATTGTAAGATATATATAAAATATACAGGGTGTTTCTTAATAAGTGTAAAAATTTTTAGGAGGTGATTCTTTGTCGAAAATTAAGGGAGGTTTTTCAATTAAACATATACTCCTACATCCTTCCCAGTGGAATTACACTCCTCCAAACATGGAGGTAAAAATTAGGTTTTTATTCTTTAGGTTTTTTTTAATTATTTTATTATAATTTTGTTTTTGTTCCAATTTTTCCAACATTTACTCTGTTTCATTTTTATTTTAAAATTTAATTTTTCGTAATTTAAAACCTATTTAGCATCGTGCTGTGCACAATAACGTATTTCATTTTTTTCTTGAAAACTACTGATTCTATGAAAAAAATAAAAGAAATGAAAAAACTTCTAAATAAATCAAACCTTGTAATGCATATTTTTAGATGATCATATTTTGACCCATTAAAATATTCTAATAAAAAATTGAATAGCGGTTGCTAGTTTCACCCTCTTATAACAATATGGAAGGCTGAATAAATATTAATAAATAACTTTTTTTAGTAGAAAATATTTACCAATTTCATTTCTTTAATTCCAAATTTGAGAAAAAATAAAAACCTAATTTTTACCTTTCTCCATTTTTGGAGAAGCGTAACTCCACAGAAAGAGATGTAGGAATATATGTTTATATGAAAAACCTCCCTTAATTTTTGACAAAAATCATCTCCTAAAATTTTTCACACTTATTAATAAACACTCTGTATATAAAGAATTGCTTAATATGAATCCTATAATTTAAATTTGCGTAGAATTTTAATAAAAATAAAAATGAAAAAGTTATATAGAAAAAAACTTTCTTTTATATATATATATATATATATATATATATATATTGTAATAGAAATATATTATAAAAAGTTTTTCTTATATTATTAATACATTTAAAAATATTCAATTTCATTAAAATATACACATTATAAGTCTATTTGATGTTTTGGATTATTTCCTGATCCATCTTCATATTAAATGTTAAAAGAATATCAGGTAATAAAATTATATTAAAAACTATATTTCAGAATCGAGACATACCGAACAAAAAAATTAAATTTAAAGAAATTGACGATTTTGGAATATATTAATAAAAAGAAGCAAAAAAAGGAAGAAACAAATATTTTTTCTTGTGCTCCTACTATTCTTATTAGCCACTTTCGTCACTTACTAATTATTATTACTTTAAATATCCATTTTCCATTTTTATTTTTATTAAAGTTTTTATTTTTATTAAAGTTTTATCATATTAATATATAAAGTATAGGACTCGTATTAGGCTGCGAATCGTCATTTTCAAGCAAACGGATTCAATGACGAAGAAAAAATGTTGTTAGTCGATACAAGACCAGCATATTGGCTCCGTTAGTTTAGCTTTCAAGAATTTTCCATATTCCCAGTTAGCGGAGAGTCTTCCGATAGCAATTTTCATGCAAATCAAATTAATATTGCGCCCGCCATTTCTGAAATCCTCTTAAAGTTGTTTACGAAATAAAATTCATTTTTTTTTTTTTTCGACAAACTCTCAAACTCGCGGAAGTAAAGAGGTCTCGCGCGGACATCAGGAATTGTCATCTCGAGGGTGTCCTTGATACGGTCGTTAATGTCGCTCGTTACACGACGGTGCCGGAAAAAAGAATCCAGGTCGACGCCGTCGTCCGTGGATTATGTTAACCCACATATCCGCAACACAATCGCCACCTCTCCCGCGCGCGAGCTTGACCCATAATTCCGGATAACTATAATGGACGCGATTACTCAGCGAGTAGCGTTGCAATTAGCGTCGCGGTTAAGTTCAACGAGTGGCAATAAGAATCTCACCACAAGCGCGATAGCCTTGCGCTGTTTGTGAGAATTTAGCGTATCGTTTAAATGAATGTGTTACACCTCTCGCACGTTCTCTCCCGGGTTCATTCACTCACGCAACAGAGCCTACGCTCGTTCCTTTCCCCTCCTCTCTCTTTCTCTCTCTGTCCTTCTCGATCTTTGCTCTTTCACCGCGCGTGATCATCGAGCCGCGAAAGGCAGGTACAAAAGAACAGCATCGGACTCGTCACTAAATTGGTAATCGAGGATCTCTGGGCAGCCTTTTTAAAAATAAAAATGGAACAATGTGTGGAGGCAAAAATGTGTATAATAATAATAAGAAGAAGAAAGAATAAAAACTGTATACATTTACCCTGGCATCGCGTCTGGAAGCGACTTGTACATTACTTGAATAAATTAAAAGAAAAAAAAATAAAGAGACGTGCAAATGTGTATAACAATGGGACGGAAATAAAAAGCGCATGAAACATTTCTTTCCTAGTTTGCGAGCGACTTTTAACGTGTTTCGTGTAAGAATATTTTTACATAAAATTTAGAAAATTATTAACACATCTCTTTGGAAAATTTTACATCAAAATAATTGACATCGAAATAATCCATAAAAAAAATGATTGATCTCGAAAAAAAAAGGACAAGATTTGAAAGTAGGAAGGAAAGTCACGTAGACGCCGGCGAAGAAACTCCTCGCGTAACGCATACGCGCTTATGTAGGCGCGACTTTTACAAGGCGCGGTGGCCATAAAAAGGCATACAAAAAGACGTGCGTGTCACGGAAACGTGTCGCATTGAGAGATGTTAAAAGGGGGGACGAACGGACGGGGGCGATCGAGATCACCAATGACTCTTAGGAGCAGTGTTTGCTGTAGATAATTTCAAAATTATCTAGATAAAGATAAAGATAAAAATCTGTAAATTTATCTTACATGAAATAAAGATGATTTTGCTTTTACTTAATCTAGATGAAAGATGAGATGATTATTGCGATAATCTAGATAATTATCTAGATATTTTTGTTTTATAAGATTATAAATATTTGTAAAAAATGTGACGCAGATTATAAATAGGATATTAAAATCATAAACACATATTCTTTCTCTTTTCCTAAAGAATATTTAATATTATAAAGAAATAATAGCAAAAAGGTATATAAATGATATAATAAATATTTATTTATTAATTTATATTTATAATATATTTATAATATATTTAATATATATTAATAATAATAATATAAAAAATATATTTTAGATATTTTAGACAGATTTTTAGAAGCTTGCCTGGAAAACTTTTTTGCATAATGAGAACGTCATCTTAGACAATTTTTAGATAAGATGACATATATTTTTCATCTAAGATAAAGATAAAGATGCTTTATATTTCTTCATCTAGTTAAAGATAAAGATGATCCATTTCTTTATCTAGATGATTTTATCTAGATACCAGCAAACACTGTTTAGGAGAGATTCCGGCGGTGTGTACACTATCCTCCATTAATTTGTTCCTAAGAATTTCCTCCTCCTTCGAGGCAAGAGGAACGTAAAAGTATCAGCTGATAAATGACGTTGATTTATCGATCCAATTATCAAAAAAAACATTATTATTCTATTATTTTATTTTATTTTATTTTAAATATTTATTTAATTATTTTATTTTATTTTATTTTAATAATAATAATTTAAATAAAATAAAATAAAATAATAGAATAATAAAATATAATAATAAAATAGAATAACAGAATAATAAAATAATAGTAGAATAGTAGAATAATAAATAATTAAATAAAATAATAGATTTTCTATACGTTAATATCATTTTAATATTATTTCTAATGTAATATCTCTGATTATTCTGATAAATGGCGCACATATATTCTTACTTGTTTGCAATATTATTATGTACTGTAATTCTTTCGTTCCTCTTATCGCGTAGAGGAGGTTAGGAACGAATTAATGAAGGGTAATGTACAAGCAACGACTTTATACGAGGCAAACATACATACGCATACGCAACAACCCGTGCATTTTCCATGAATGCAAGAATAAGATGCGTAATAATGCACAATAATGCGCAATAATGAATATATACGGCGAGCTTGTGCGAGACGAGAGAGTTCAAAGCACTTCTTGCAACAGAGCGACTAGTTTACTAATCAAATTATCGAACCTCCCGATCACGATTTCTACAGATACACTGTGTATCAATTAAATTTTAGATTTTTCTTTTAAATTTTCTATATTATGGATTCAAATATTCTTTCTTAACATTTTTTTTCTTTTCAATGAACGCAAAGATTTCTTCATTCCATGCTAATAATTCTGTAATAATTCTTTTGATTTTACAAACATTAAAGACACTTTTTTTAAGTTTTTTTAACAATATAATATATATATATATATATATATATATATATATATATATAATAAATCTATTCATATATATTTATTTTCATATAAAAATGATTAAAAAATTTATTTCTTTTCTTTTAAATGAACGAAAAGGTTTCTTCATTTCATGCTAATATTCTATGCAATTTTTATTTTAGATTTTATTATATATATATTAGATTAGATTTATGCAATTTTTATTTATTTTCATATAAAAATGATTAAAACATTTATTTTTCTTTTAAATAAACATAAAGATTTCTTCATTCCATGCTAATAATTCTATAATGATTCTTTTGATTTTAGAAGCATTAAAGACATTTTTCTTAAATTTCTTTTTTAACAATATAATATATAAAAAACCTATGCATATGCAATTTTTATTTATTGTCATGTAAAAATGATCAAACAATTTTTCTTATTTTGCGATTCCTTCTGTAAAAAGGAATATTCTTAAAGAATGCAAGTGCAAGGTTTAATACAATTTTTGTAATAATTTTACACGATCTCTTAACACGGTCTCTCTAGAAAAGAGCTCATTGGCATTCAAATAAAGGCCGAGTGATGCAGCATTCGATCAACTACTGAGGCTTTATTCGCTAAGATTTTGTCGGATTAAGGCCAACGTAATTTCCTTACATAACACAAGTGAGGTGGCTAAAGTAGAAATCCATAAGATGACACAGAGCCAAAGAATGCACGACATGACTAATAATTTTCGCAAAACTGCTGGCGTCGAGCACATTTGATTTACTCGCTTACAGTGTAAAATGTAACAAAAATCAAAATAATTAATTGAAAATAAATTATTAAAATCTTATTGTATAAAAAAAATCCGTAAGAAAAAATATATAAATATTAAATTTCAATTTTATTTCCAATATTTTATTTTATTTTATTCGAAGATTGTACTAAATTTCCAAAAATATACCCCATTATTAAAATTTCACTCATTCTAAATCTTGTGAAATATAATTTCTCGTCGATCGAAAAATAAAATGTATACATTGTACAAGATTTTATGAAGAAAACACGACTTCGATGAGAAACACGCTGGTTAAACTCGCACGTATTTCGTGCAAAAACACGATTTCGAGACGTCGTGCAATTATTTCCAGCAGCGTTCGATCTCGATCGGACTCGACGAAGGGAAAGTGGAGAAATTAGACGTAAGTTCTGCCAAGCGTGCCCTCGGTATTGTATCCCTAATATCGAGAAACGCCGACATTAAAATTGCGTTCGATTTGCATTCGCGTTTTTTGCGTGAAAGCAAGCACGACGAGGAGAAAAGGATTAAGGGTCCGCTAAGAAACTGTTGGGGGGGAGGGAGGGGGTTGGCTTTTCCACGAGATTGCGTTCTCCAAACGTCATCTCGGAAAATGGAGCGCGAAAAAATGACGCAAGAACGCGCGTTGCGAAAGTATCGCATTGTTCTTTACAGGAAATTGGGGTGAAGAGTCCAGCTCTCCTCGCGGCCATTTACGATTCAAACGAGCCACGAGCTGAAAGCATTACGTATTTAAATCTATGCAGCGTCCTACAAACTTGAATGACTCGAGAGTATTATTTGCCGAAAGGAAACAGATGCGTTCGCGCGACGGCCATTTATTAGGAGACCTATTACGCTGACATTTGTTATCTTAGGATAGCGCCGAAATTACTCTCAACGTTCCCACGAAGACAATGGCACTTATAGATGTGTACTGTTATCTTACATTTCAGATAATAACGGTGAGTTGCTGAACGAAAGCAGCAACTTAAACTCACTTAAGTTCGTTAATATCTCGAATCGACCCAGCAAACACCGAATAACAGCAATACCTAACCTAACTTAACCTAATTGTTAGTTATATTGCTTTTATTTAGCGTTTTCTGGTTAGTTATACAGGGTGTCCCATATTAAATAATACGCTCAAATATCTCCGAAACGGTGCATTAAATAAAAAAATGTTTCAAGCAAATTTGTATGGCTTAAAGGGAGTCATCAGATGGTGGCAACGATTTGACCTTGGAGAGTCATTTGAAGATTACGTGAAGGTCACCGTCATTTTCTTAAATGGAACTTTATTTTTTATTGCATATTTTTATAGCTTATCTCGAGGCCTTTCCAAAACACTATAATAAAATATTTTTTCCTCAAGTACTTTTTGAGTTATAAGGCTTGAAATAATTTCTTAATTTTATATAAACCGTAAAATATCTTGTAAAATATTCATTTTTCGATTGTCTTTAATACTTTTATGTACAAAATAATGAGAGGAATCAATTGGTGTAAAGAAAACATATAGTTATTTTTAAGAAAAAATATGTAATTGCAAATTACAATTTCTAAGATATTTGAGCGTATTATTTAAAATGGGACACCCTGTATAACTGTTACATATAACAGTTATATAACTGTTATAATTTCCCACAATATAACTGTCACAAGTTATGTATCAGTTATATGTTACATGTTATGTATCAGTTATATGTTACATGTTATGTAACAGTTATATAACATATAACAATTATACTGTTGAGTGGGAAATTTCAATTAACAATTATATAAATGTTATGTAAATGTTACTTGGTGTTTGCTGAGAAGCATCATTTTTTCATCGTCTTTTTTTACAGCGCGAGTCGAATAAAAGAAAGAAAAAGAAAATATTCTACAGTCGTGGTTAAAGAGGATATAAAATCAATGAGAGAAAATTAAGTTCTCATTAAAATTTTAATTCAAGACTCTAGATTGATTTTAATATCTCGAGTCATTTTCGTCATCATTTTTCCATCGACTCTTCTTTCTAATTAAATTTCCCGTTATTCATTCTTGATTAGAGAAACGAAATAACTTGAGAAGTTGCCGAATTTTTCATAAATTAAAAACTGATGTTATGCTATTACGATGCAGGAATGTTATGGCTATCGTGGAATTTAAGAAGGAAGACGAAGAGAGATTTTTAGAGATCCCGCGCATGCAGAATAAATTAACGCTGTGATAAAAAAGCGCACAAACAACTCACCAAGATGGGTAGACGCCGCGCGGCGACGCACCTCCTGCCCTGATCTGCTCGTTGACGTAACCGCTTCTAGGCACGTTAAGGGCGCTCCTGATGCCCACGCTGGACCCGTCCAGGGTCCCGGGTCCCGGTTTGGGCACGTGACTGCTGCAGTACACCTCCTTGTCGTTGATCGTGTGCTGGTTGTTGTAGTACGTCTTCAGGGTGAGCTTGGTGCCGCAAATCGCGCACTTGAAGCAACCCGCGTGGAAGAACGTAAAGTCCTTCAGGGGACCCACCCTGTCCACCTGGTAGACGGTCTGAGCGCATCTCAGACACGTGCTCTCGTAGAAGTTGGGCCGATACATGATGACCAGCCTGTCGGAGCACCAGGTTCTCTGTTCGCGCACTCTGCGACGACTCCGTCGTCCCGATCACCGCTCGCTACGATCTCGCACGGCGCAGTGTTTCGCTCTCGATGCGTACGACCTTGGGAATTAAAGGCCTCGATCAGGGAATAGAGAAATTACCTCTCACCATCGGGATAGTAAATACAAGGCGACGCTAGCGCGAGACGAATAACCGGGTATTAGAGATCGGCGCATGATTCACTTAGTCTAATCATTCTTTTCTAATTTCTCTCCGATTTTTCTTTGAAAGAAAGACCCATGAGTCAATCTCTATTTCTAATTTGCAAAATTCAATTTATCTGATAAGCGAATTTATTATCATAAATTTTTACGTCGAGGAAACTATAATACAGAAAGATTATTTTCACCGCCATAAAACATGATTGAAACAAAAGAGAATTTTTATTTAGATATTAAACTCTCTTCTTCGATACAATAAATATATTATAAAGTTTAGAAAAACATGTTTAGAGAATTTTAAAATTCTTATTCTCATTTATACTTTTAAATTCTTATTCTCATTTATACTGATACGAGACATCTTTAAGACACGATTAAAAAACAAAGGAAAATTTTTATTTAAATATGAAACTCTGTTCAGAACCGAAACAGAAACAATAAATATATTATAAAGTTTAGAAAAATATGTTTGAAGAATTTTAAAATTCTCATATTTATTTACATTTTTGGATTTGATATGAGACACCTTCAAAACACGATTCAAATAAAGGAGAAATTTTATTTAGATATTAAACTTTTTATGGAAACAATAAATATTATAAAGTTTAGAAAGACATGTTTAGAGAATTTTAAAATTCTTATTCTTATTTATACTATTAAATCTGATACGAGACACCTTTAAGACACGATTAAAAAATAAAGGAGAATTTTTATTTAGATATTAAACTCTCTTCATAGAAACAATAAATATATTATCAAGTTTAGAAAAACATATTTGAAGAATTTTAAAATTCTCATATTTATTTAGATTTTTGGTTTTGGTAGAGACACCTTTAAAACACGATTCAAATAAAGGAGAAATTTTATTTAGATATTAAACTCTTTATAGAAACAATAAATATGTTATAAAGTTTAGGAAAACATGTTTAGAGAATTTTAAAATTCTTATTCTTATTTATATTATTAAATCTGATACGAGACATCTTTAAGACACGATTAAAAAACAAAGGAAAATTTTTATTTAGATATTAAACTCTCTTCATAGAAACAATAAATATATTATCAAGTTTAGAAAAACATGTTTAAAGAATTTTAAAATTCTCATATTTATTTAGATTTTTGGTTTTGGAAAAGACACCTTTAAAACACGATTCAAATAAAGGAGAAATTTTATTTAGATATTAAACTCTTTATGGAAATTTTATTTAGATATTAAACTCTTTATAGAAACAATAAATATTATAAAGTTTAGAAAGACATGTTTAGAGAATTTTAAAATTCTTATTCTTATTTATACTATTAAATCTGATACGAGATACCTTTAAGACACGATTAAAAAATAAAGGAGAATTTTTATTTAGATATTAAACTCTCTTCATAGAAACAATAAATATATTATCAAGTTTAGAAAAACATGTTTGAAGAATTTTAAAATTCTCATATTTATTTAGATTTTTGGTTTTGGTAGAGACACCTTTAAAACACGATTCAAATAAAGGAGAAATTTTATTTAGATATTAAACTCTTTATAGAAACAATAAATATGTTATAAAGTTTAGGAAGACATGTTTAGAGAATTTTAAAATTCTTATTCTTATTTATATTATTAAATCTGATACAAAACACCTTTAAGACACGATTAAAAAATAAAGGAGAATTTTTATTTAGATATTAAACTCTCTTCATAGAAACAATAAATATATTATAAAGTTTAGAAAAATATATTTGAAGAATTTTAAAATTCTCATATTTATTTAGATTTTTGGTTTTGGTAGAGACACCTTTAAAACACGATTCAAATAAAGGAGAAATTTTATTTAGATATTAAACTCTTCATAGAAACAATAAATATGTTATAAAGTTTCGGAAGACATGTTTAGAGAATTTTAAAATTCTTATTCTCATTTATACTTTTAAATCTAATACGAGACACCTTTAAGACACGATTAAAAAACAAAGGAAAATTTTTATTTAGATATTAAACTCTGTTCACAGAAACAATAAATATATTATAAAGTTTAGAAAAATATGTTTGAAGAATTTTAAAATTCTCATATTTATTTAGATTTTTGGTTTTGGTATGAGACACCTTTAAAACACGATTCAAATAAAGGAGAAATTTTATTTAGATATTAAATTCTTCATAGAAACAATAAATATATTATAAAGTTTAGAAAAATGTTTGAAGAATTTTAAAATTCTCATACTCGTTTACTTTTGACTCGTTTTTACTTCCGGTATGAGTCATGTTTAAAACACGATTAAAACAAAGAAGAATTTTTATTTAGATATTAAACTCTTCATAGAAATAATAAATATACTATAAAGTTTAGAAAGCATGTTTAGAGCAAATTCTCATACTCGTTTATACTTTTGAATCTGGTATGAGACACCTTTATAAAATCGTTTAACGACTTCCTTCTCGACACAGGATATGAATATGCGAGATGCCGAAGATGGAAATCAAACGCACGTAAAGAGCCTTTACGTAAGACACAGTTTAATACAATTGTTAATTATACCATAGACTTCTCTAGCAGTTGAAACACGCGAGCTTAGTACTCGTGTTCGTTTCATGCTTCGATTAGACAATTAATACAACGAGTGTCTACAAATGATCGAGATTTACTATGATATTTCTAGTACTATCGACGATTATTTGCAGTCAGATGCGGAATTATTAATTATTCATGACGTTACTTTACCGTCGTTTGATGGAGACTCGCCGGCTCTCCTTCTGTCTCGTTTGCCTTTACTGCTCCTTCATGATATTTACATGACACTCGCTCGCGAAAACACGATTAATTATGATCGCGTTGCACTTTATACAGCACTCCCGACATTAATATCGCACACAGCCGACTTTATTCTACATTGCAAAGAGACAACACGAAGATCACGATAATACAAAGTTATATTAAGCTACAACGTCAAGAATGGCTATATTTATCAAACGCAATTAATTGCTTAAAAATCAATTTGACTTTATTATGCCTGCCATGTTTTATCAAGAATTTGGAAAATTACACAGGCCGACAAAATTTGGTCAAACCTCAGATCCAGAAACCAAAATATACTTTTCCGAAGGTTTTCGCGCTGAGTTCGAATTCGAGGTCAGAATTTCTCCGGTGACTCCGGTTTTCGAAATATTCTAACCCAAAAGTGCCAAAATCACGGTTTTTCGAGATATTTGAAGTTACGTTACATCGCAAGGTAATTTTTTTTCATAAAACCATTAATGGGGTCCGAAAGAACTACTCTTCCTCTTTAAAAAACATTTTGATTTTGTCCGGATATCTTTTTTTATCTTTGAGAAATTGAATGTTCAAATTAAGTAGTTTGACATTTTTGATATTCGGAAATTGAATAGCATCAGGTAAGTACAATATAATGTATGTACACGAAATATACATTTTTAAAGGGTTTTGATGCACGCTGATTCGAAATTTGACATTAGTTTTGCAAATTTAATTTGTCTAAACAATGTGTTTAAACAATTTGTTTAAACAAACTATTGCAAAAATAATGTTTTTTGAGAAGTAAATGATTCAATCGGATTCTACGGGAACACGCTCATCCGGAATAGTAATTCGGTATATTAAAATAAGTTTTGTTACAAACTAATTGATAAACAATCAATCATTTTCCAAATATCGAGAAATAAGTCGAACTACTTAATTTGAACATACGATTTCTCAAAAATAAAAAAAGATATCCGGACAAATCAAAATGTTTTTTAAAGAGGAAGAGTAGTACTTTCGGACCCCATTAATGGTTTTATGAAAAAAAATTACCTTGCGATGTAACATAATCTCAAATATCTCGAAAATCGGAGCCACTAGAGAAATTCTGACCTCGGATTCGAATTCAGCGCATTCAAAAACCTTAGGAAAAGTATATTCTGGTTTCTGGGTCTAAATTTTGTCGGCCTGTGTTATCATCGACAACCTTATCCTAATATTGCGATACTGTCGTTAATTACTAGTCAAGAGATGAGCTAATTACTAGAGATGGTAATCGCGGAAATTAATTACCCGCGTTAATTGACAATTTCTTGAATCGTTTGTAGGAACTGAATAATCTATCATCTGCTTGCGTTCGTCGCGTGATCGATTTTGAGAAACGACACGACGACACTGAACAAAATAAGTCGTATGGAAACTAGAGGACGTCTTCCTATAATAAAACAGTCTTATATAACTGTGTATATGTGTGGTAAAACATTGATGACGTATGAGGTATAGAACGTTATTGTATACATCGGACACGTACAATGAGTTTGTTGTCATTCGCGTAGTGAGATTCGGAGGAGAAGCAACTCGAAGACTCGTATGTGTTATATTATAATATTATCAAAGTATGAATGATCGTATTATCGAAATTTCCACGTAATTAAAGATTGCACGCTAACGCGTGTAATAAATTTATTATCGCGTTTTAATTAATAATTCAGTTGCAGTATCAAGATAAAGTTGCCGATAATCAAATATCGCGTTTTAATTAATAATTCACTCGTAGTATCGGGAAAATTGCCGATAATAATTCTAGAATTTCTCAGTCGTCAACAAAAAGCCGCGGATGCTAAGTAGACTGACTCTAGTGTCAATGTAACGCGTTTAATTAATATGAAGTGCGAGTGAGTGTCAGGAAGATCCAGCAAAGGACAAACGAGAAAGAAGGAAGGAGCCCAGCACGAATCAGTTGATGATGAAATGTTATGAGGTGAGAATTTTATTTTAATTTATTTTATTTTAATTTTAATTCATTTTAATTTTAATTCATTTTAATTTTAATTTTAATTCATTATTCATTTGTGACTGTAATTGTTTGCTTAGTTTTGCGATAGCAATTTACTTTTTTTATTTTATTATTTTTATGATATGAAAACAATTCTAGATC